AGAGCCATGGCTGCATTTATCTTTGCGGCTGAGCAGCGTGTGCCACCGTCGGTGATAGGAGGTGCTCTATCGAATGTGGTCGCCCAGGAACCTCGCGGGCGGTGCAGAGCCTAATGACATTTTGCGCGGGACGAGTCAACCGGAAACTTGGGAGTCGATACCTCCACTCCCCTGGAGCAGCTCAAAGTTCAGCATTTCTACAGGCTTCGCTGACCCGGCATCGAACTCTTTGTGACGAAGAATCTCCTCCCCTCCAGTGAAGACAGGTCTAGTCGCACAGATACTATGTATACGCCGGTCAAGACTCACTTCGCCAGAAGGGGAAATGCGAAGCACAGAGTCTTCATATGAAACTAGAAATTACTTTGTCAGGTGAGTGCACCTCTAGCGCTGTGGTAGACGTATGTTGACTAAGGCTATGTCTTCTACTACCGGTTCGGGCAGTATTTTGGTGAAATCACGATTCGAAAGTGTTCAGAAGATTAATTAATCCTGTTGGACATACTAGAAATGGATCCGAGCAACTCCAATGATCTGGCCGCCCACGCCCTCTTGTACAATTAACACTCTTTCCAATCCGTCTGCAGTATCTCGGGGCGGCAGTGGGACGACGTCTCTCCCGCCTCTCCATTCACCTAGCGCTTTGACGCTCTTGACGACGTTGCGGTGCGCCAACGTCTTGCCGGCGTTCTCGCCCCTCGGTATCGCCACTTCGCGCAAGGTTGGATCGTATACGACCTCAACCACTCTGCCTCTTCGTCCCGTTGCCGCAGCGGCTGCGCTGGCCTCTCTTATCAAGACACCTTCCTCGACCTTCGAGAATAACAGCCACGGCCAATCTTGACTAGCCAGCCGGCCTCCTTCTTTGATCAGCTTCTCCAGCTTCCTGGTCGAATTTCCCACCCCTTCGGAAATGCCGTTCACGACCACCTGCGGAGTGTATACCCTTGATGTGCCGCTTGCTTGCGCATATTCCCGCTGGTACGTGTCGGCCTCGGGAATACCAAAGGAGTCTGGCCACCCCAGGTGATCCCAGTATGTAACATGGTAATCGAGCACGAGGATATTGGGGTCGGCCAAAGTCAACAGTGACAGGAGGAGGGTGTTTGTTGGCGGACACGAGTTGCATCCCTGCGACTGGAATGCTTCGACTACGATGGGTCGGTTGGGCTGGGGCTTGTGAATATGGATCGCGCACTGGCAGTCTTCTGGGTGAGGGTCGAAGAGCGCGTAGGGGGGAGGTGGAGGCGCCTCCTCCATGTCAGGGTCTACAGGCGGTGCAGCGTCCCATCTTGTCCTTGGAGCTTGCCGTGTCTGAGGGGTGTGTTGCGGCTGCTCGTCTTCATCGTCGAGGAAACAGCAGGAGAACCATTTCATTGGGTTCATTGAACTTGTGGGATTGGAAGAAGACATGTTTGCGTTTGCAATATGGTTCGAGGTGACAGCAGAACAGTGTGCTGGTGTTGGCAGTGCAGGAATAGGCCCCAAATATGTATCTTCATGTGAGAAACCAAAAGTGGCGCTCTATGGCACAGCCATTGAGATATTTGGATTTTGCAGGATTGTTGAGTGGACGCTCCTGAACACAAATCTCTTTCCAAGGGATCATGAGGGACGAAGGACGGCGCACTCGACCGCCATGACGATCGCCTGGGTCAACTGATGTAACATTATTAAAAAGCCATACAGTGTCCCGATGGTTCCGTTCTGGGCCAAAAAATTGAAAGCCTCTGTTCCTGGCATCTCGGACGCTGGTTTCTTGCACTTCTTGGGGCCCCATGCTGCTGAGAGAAATTGGGGCAGCCTTAGCGGGCTCAGCGAGGCTTAGATCTTACAATGTTTCCATCATCAAGATCCACCCAGCCAGACGATGCCGTTTGTGATCAGCCAATCAAGGCACAATGCGGAGACGGGCGTATTTCGAATCATTGTGACCTGCCCATTTCCGTTTTGCGACGTCTCTTCTCCCAATCTCCCTTCGAAACAAACTGCGTGTATATATTGGTTGACTAGAAATCGCCGAGGTATATATAGGGCGCGTATCCACCACACCGAGGCTCGTCTTCATCGGAGAAATATAGCGAGATTCATACTGTGAACCTGGATTATCGGTAAGTGAAAATCAAAAGGCATGAGACCGCAAAGAGCAGGGAAGTCTAGATACTTGTGTACTGCGTGTTGCTTTAGAATGTCGCCACGTCGAGTGCAGCTTTGTCAATCCATCGACAGGCAGATGGCATCCGACCGGTGGGAGAAAAGCCCCTTCCGCACCAAAGGCTCGTCCTCTTACACACATCTCAGCAGACAGCGACGTCTAAAATATGTTCGAAGAAGGGGTGTTGCGTCGGTTTCCCGGAATTGGCCCAAGCGCACCGCAGCGTAGAAGGACTGGTACGTTGCGTATCGGGGCTACGCTCCTTGCCAGTTTGCTTTGCCTACCAAAGATGGCTGGTTTCCTAGTTGATGGTTCGTCTCTCTTTGTGCTTCTCCTCGTCGTGGTGGTTTGCGTGTGTGCATTGAGGAATGCCCGCCGACATTCCAGACCGGAAACCATTACGCATTGGTTGGGAAAGCACCGACGTTCCGCCCATTGTTCAAAGAATGTGACCATGGATACTAAAGGAATGTCTCTTTTGTTTGAAATCCACCCCGGAAACAGAGAAGTCAGCGCCATCAGGTGCTCAACTTCTTCCATCAACCCACTTGAGTTTGAGTTTTGAATTTCGCAGCCCCAAGTACGACTGCATGGTGCACTTACGGAGTCGTCGCTCTTTCCTCTCTGAGACTTGAGCGTGTTCGCCATGAAGCTCGTCACGGTTTGCCTCCACATCCTTGGTCTTCGCCTGGTGCATGCCATTTCAGTCCAGAACATCCCTCAGTGCGCAGTAAGTTGGTGGAAGCTGGCAGATAGATGGGATGGTTGTTGACCGAAGAACAGCAAGGATGTCTCTCGAATTCCACCTCCGCTCAGACATCATGTTCGGTGATCGATATCGCCTGTCTTTGTTCGAGTACAACCTATGTTAGTACATTGTCTTGCTGCCTGTATACCCAGTGCAATTCCGACGAGCAAGCAGGTATGTGGGATTCGATGCACTGGAAGGACACAATTCTAACTTTTGCCTAGTTGCAATTCAGTTCAACAAGCAGGAATGTGCTGCTGTCAACGAGACCGCCCCAGATTTCGTGGGATGCTCACCAGCAGGATTGTCGAGCGCTCTTGCTAGTATGAGTCTCACTCAGCCCCCAGCAGCTTCAACGACTCCACCAGCATCAATGTCGTCTTCATCGGGCAATCCGAGCCTCACAACAATATCGGGCGATGCAGTGTCTGAAACAGCGGCGCCCATGACAGGGAAGCCGACAACAGCAACGACTTTTGTTGGAGCCCCGTTGATGACTGGCAGCTGCACGGTGCCGTACTTTGCGATAATAACGGACGCCGCCGGCAGGGTGACCGAGTTTCCCAACGTCGGCTGTTCTGAAAACCGACCAGATTGCTGTCCATATGAGTATGGACTCAATGCAGTCATCACAAGGTGCCCACAGGACTATTTTACAACCGCGAGTGCTTGCTGTCCCATGTTAGTGCCTTTGTTCCCAGTCTTACCACGTTTGCGATGCTAATTGAACATTAGTGGATATCAGATATATTATACTGCAATTGGGCTGGAGACCCCGTGCTATTCGGCCCCTGCCACGACGTTTGCGCCAGCGTCCACTCCAACAGTGGTCGGCCTGACCCTTATCACTGACCACGTCTTCTCGCAGAAGTATTCGCTTGTGACAAAACAGCAGGCGAAAAGCAGCTTCCCTCCTGGAGCAAAGATTGCTATCCCCGTTTCCATCTGGGTCGTGATATGTATAGTGTGCATAACGACATTTTTCTGGGTCAGAAGGAGGCGTAAGGCGAAGCGAGCCGCCGAAGCGAACCGCACGACAACATTCCCGCCCGAAGAGCCCGCTCTTCCTCACATGTCGATGTCGAGAGCGCCGACCGCACACGAATTGGACAGCCCAGAAGCCCAAGCAGGATCTCCAGGGGTTGTCGGAGTAAACGGCTGGCCAATGCTTCCGACATCGTCACCACCAGCATATGATCAGAGCAAAGGAGGGCTCGCTATCCACAAGCAGCCGCCTGGGGTTCCACAGGAGCTGCCAGGAAGCACATATATTCACGAGCATCATCCGGTGTTTTCTCCTGCTGGTTCGGTGAGCACACCCACCGAAGCAACGCCCGGTTCGCCGCCACGAACACCCGTGCAGGCCGCTGCGGCAGGAACTGGGACGAGGTCACCAGTGTTGCCTAGCGTCACAACACACTCAGATGCTCAGGGTCCAGGATTCGTCTCCCCCTTAGGGTCTCCGAGATTGCCCAAGAACTAACAGGAGAGGAAGTTGTAAATATATTGCATTCAATAGCATTTGTTTTGGCCGTGCAATTTCGAGGAATGTCGAGCCAACCATTTGAAATTAGAATTGATGGGATGACAGCCTTAGGATTGTTGAAAGATAGTCTGTCGTTTGTGTGGAAAACAAATACTCTCTCAGATGCCTCGACGGGTGGGAGAAAATACAGGGAGCACGTGATTTATTTTGTGGCGATTAAATAATTAATTTAGTCAGACTGAAAGATACCAACTGGCTCCAGTTGAATTCCACTCACCCGTCCTGGTCGTTCGTGTCAGACCGGAAGCTGGGCTGGGTGGCGAAGAATGGGGCAAGCCGGAGCTGCAGTTGAGCGGGCGCAGCCGGTACTTCTCATCCTCTCTCTGCGCTTCCATTTCTCCCATGACCATGACCATGACCATCATCGCCCGCCAGCCTGCCTGCCAAACATCCCTCTCCAAGAGCCAAGGCGTGGCAAGTCAAGATATTTCTTTGATTGTCTTCTCTTTTGCTTTCTGTTGATCCCTCTTTTCCATAGTGATTGTCTTCTTACTGAGAGTTTCTTTTCCAACGTTCCATTAGCGGCCTGCCGCCGCCGCTCAATCCCGACCATGGCTCTACAGGCTCCCCTCTCGCAGTTGCAAGTGAGTATCTTGTCCATGGTACAGAATCATCGCCCACTGACTTCTCTGCTACTTCAGAGCCTGTCTGCAATTGCCCCAGATGTCTTCACGACACTGCCGTCGCTCTTTACTTCGCCACTCCAAACCCTCCGACGTTATCGCCTGGCGCGGCTACGAACTGAGGGAGATGCATCCGGTGTGCGGCAAATACACTCAACCAGCGCGAGATCGAGGCAGTCGATGGTACGCAGTATTGCCTTTCGAGGCGCGAATATATCTAACGGCTTGCAGCCCTCGTCCAGCGTAATTCTCCCAGATTTCCTCACCTCCCTTCGGCCCGACAGTCTCCGGCCGCATTCGCTCAATCTAAATTCGCGGACAACCCTGCCCTGGATGTCTAGAAATCTTTCCTCAACCGTTACGTCTCGCCTTAATTCGATACCCAATCTGCGCCGGGAGTGGTCGACCAGCGTCCCGAATGCGACAATGAGGGTGGCCACCGGAAAGAGTACCACAAGATTGCCTTCGATACAGCCTCCAGCGACGTCTCTGGCGTTTGGTCCTCCGCGCCGACCAGATATTACAAGCTTGAGTAAGCAATATCGACAATTCTCGACGACACCCCTACTTGCCAACCAAAACATGCTGGCTCACGCCGAACGCACTGCGAACAACAACCCTATAAGTGCCACCGCCCAGAACGCTTTCTATTCCGCCCTCCTACGTGCAAATATGCCCAAACTCGTTATTGAAAGATACCAGTCTGGTCGGTACGCCACGAACCCAGCAGCGGATGCGGCCTATCTCAAGGCTCTACAGATGACTGGCTCAGTTCCTGCTCCAGGCACACCCGGCTCAAATGTTACCGGTTCACAAGGTAACGGGTTGGGTCCTGACAAATTGCGGGCTGTGGGTCAGGCGGTTGCTGGACAGAACTACGGTGGGCAAGTGATTATGCCTAGCAATAAATCCGGTACAGGGGCAAAAGAAGCGCCGCTTTATGTGGTGGTGGAAGAGTCATGGGGCGCAACCATTCTGAAATGGGTCCGAACATTCCTCTGGGTTGGCTTGTCTGGCTACTTCCTCCTCGTGGTCCTTACCATGGTCGTGGAGATGACTGGGAGCTTCCGGACGAGAGTCGGACAAAACAACGAAGTACAACCCCAGCATCAAACTGTCCGCTTCAGCGACGTGCATGGCTGCGACGAGGCTAAGGAGGAACTTCAAGAACTGGTCGAATTCTTAAAGAACCCGGAAAAATTTAACCAGCTAGGAGGAAAGCCCCCCAAGGGTGTTCTCCTGGTGGGCCCGCCTGGTACTGGTAAAACAATGCTTGCTCGCGCTGTTGCTGGTGAGGCTGGCGTACCGGTTTTCTACATGTCTGGCTCCGAGTTCGATGAACTGTATGTCGGTGTCGGTGCTAAACGAGTTCGAGATCTCTTTACTCAAGCACGAAACAAGGCCCCTTCCATCATCTTCATCGACGAACTCGACGCTGTTGGAGGCAAAAGAAATGCACGTGATCCCGCCTATGCAAAACAAACACTCAATCAGCTCCTGACAGAGTTGGATGGATTCAGCCCCAGCACCGGCGTTATTCTCATCGCTGCGACCAACTATCCCGAGTCGCTGGACAAAGCGCTCATTCGACCGGGACGATTCGACCGACATGTCAACGTGCCCCTTCCTGATGTCCGCGGCCGGATTCAGATCTTGAAACATCACATGAGGAACATGCCCATCGCTGCCGATGTGGATGCGACCAACCTCGCACGTGCTACAAGCGGCATGTCTGGCGCCGACTTGGAGAATCTTTGCAACCAAGCTGCAGTTCATGCTTCGCGGCTGAAGTACAAGAAGATCACGGCCATGAACTTTGAGTGGGCCAAAGACAAGATCATGATGGGCGCCGAGGCTAAGTCCCGAATGATTCGAGAAAAGGACAAGATCCAAACCGCCTACCATGAGGCTGGTCACACTTTGGTCAACTTATTTACTCCAGCTAGTAATCAGTTGTACAAAGTGACCATCATCCCGCGTGGTCAAGCGCTCGGTGTCACTCACTTCCTCCCTGAAATGGACGAGGTGAGCAGAGGCTACGATCAATTCATCGCGTCGATCGATGTCTCCATGGGTGGGCGAGCGGCTGAGGAATTGATCTACGGTCCACATAAGGTCACAAGCGGTATCTCTCATGATGTTCAGCAAGCCACTCGGACCGCGTTCTATCTCGTCACCCAGTGTGGGTACTCCGCCAAACTTGGAAATGTTGATCTTGCTTCCGACTACGACAAACTCTCGAGCGAGACGAAGCAAGAAATCGAACGCGAGGTGCGACAGATTGTGGAAGGCGGCAGAGAACGCGCCGACCGAATTGTCAAAGAGAAGCGGAAAGAGCTTGAAGCGTTAAAAGATGCCCTTCTGGAGTACGAAACGCTGGACCGGGAGGAGATTATGAAGATCCTACGCGGGGAGAAATTGAAAAAGATTGAAGTTGAGCTCCGTGAGGATGATGACACAGACAACGGGGATAATGGACGAGGAAACAAGTCACAACCCAAGAAGGATAAGGAGGTTGGCTCTAAAGGCAGCTTGGGGATTAAGCTCCCCGACGTGCTGCTCCCACCTGGAACGGGTGGGAGAGGAGGAGAGAAGGAAGGGGTCTCGCGGGTTAGTGATAGATGACATTGACGGTGGCTAATCAAGAGCCTTCATATGTCGTGTCTTGTGAATTTGTTTAGCGGGTAAAATGACTCTCTTATCGTGGAATTGAAAAAGGGTTGTCCTCCAGAGCACAAACCATTATTTGACATACAACCAGCAGGTCGAGCATGGGGAAGACCGTCAGAAGTCCCAAGTCACGGGGAGAGGCACTCTGTATACTCTCCAGAGACGGATGAATGTTTCATGTACTTGTCCGGTAGGCCTGCAAGGTAGTCGCTTTCGTGCTGGACGGTCGAAATATCAAGACAAGGCACTAGGACGCTGTCTCATCGCTTCTTTATTCCCTGAAATTTAGGTATAGCCGCGCAGATCTTCTCACAACTAGTAGTATATGGCGGACACCTCAAAGCTATGGCTTTCTCTAAACAGCAAAGCGCTTGCATGACCACTGACCCACATCGAGACGAGGCTGTGACCTCTAAATGTAGAATGTGGACGTCAATTTCAGAATCGAGGCAAGGCTCGCGACTCCTGACCTTAAGCAAGCTATGCCACAATAGGACACCCCGAGGGAGCTGTGGCTTTTCACCTTCTGTTGTACGCTGTTCTCCACTTGGCCACTGACATACTTGAGACAACTGTTAACTTGGGTCAAGGTCTTACTATGCCGCTGGGTTTTTAACACGTACCTGCATGGCCCTCTCGTTCCCACCTGGCGGAAATGACGGCCCGGACTAAACCATCAAAACATCAGGGAAAAGACTGCTATTTGTGTGGGCCTCCCCGCGGGAACTGAGTCCCGCGGAGTCTCATCACTTCTGGGGGAGCATTATCCCCTTAACCCCCCCCCCCCCCCCTCCCCCTTCCCCTAGCTTCATGACTCCGAGGCCTATTCTGACCATTTTTGAATGAATTCCCAATTGCAGGCCTTCCAATAGTGGTTCTCTAGACAGCTCGGGCCGAGGTCTCCATAGAATATCAACCCCGCTTGAACCAGGTCTGGTCGCTATAACTGAAAGATAGACCGCAACAGCATGGTATGATACCTGTACCATATTCAACAGGCCAGGGCAAGTGGAGCACCTGCAGTCTCTAACACATTCAGAAAGGACATCAGTTTTGCTGGTTGTGAGTCTTCGACCTTTCTCCCGAGATTGGAGATCTTCCACATCACTGCACGATGATCACCCGCGAGTCCAAGTCTACCCTGACCTGCACTCCTCTCGCCCGGACCTTTGGTGCAGAAGTCCACGGTGTCGACTTCTCGAAGCCGGTGTCAAAGGAAACCGTCGCTGAGATACGTGATGCGTGCAACAAGTATGGCGTCCTCGTATTCCGCGGTGCGAATCTCAACAACGAACAGCAGATTGAATTCACCGCCAACTTCGGCGAGATGTATGATGTCAAGGCACACATGAAGGCTGGCCGCAGGATGCGATTTCCACACCAGCCTGAGATCTTCGACGTGTCCAACCTGGATGAAAATGGCAACGTGCTCACCGAGCTGGAGCCGGCACGCGTCGGGGCGAACAAAGGTAATTGCCTTTGGCACGCAGACATGGCCTACAATCCACGCCGTGCACACTATTCGATCCTCCGCGCCGTCGAGCTCCCTCCGAAGGGTACCGGGGGTGCGACGCAGTACCTCGATTCTCGAGCAGCCTATGACGATCTCTCAGAGGAGATGCAACGACGCATCGACTCTTTGGTCTGCAACAATTCCCTCTACCACAACCGAAAACTGGCAGCCCCAGACACTTTTGCGGATTTTGAGCCCTTGGATCTGCCCATGGCACGGCATAAACTGGCGCAGATGCACGAAGAATCAGGCCGTATGAATCTGTATATCACAACATATGCGCACCACTTTGACGGAGAGACTATTGAACAGAGCAGACCGCTGGTCAACGAGTTGCTCGACCACGTCTCTCAGGAGAAATATTTGTTGACGGTGGAGTGGGAAAACAACGGCGACATGGTCATGTGGGACAACACTGCAGTTCTGCACCGCGCCACTCCCGGAGGTGTGTACACAACCAAATATAAACGCGATATGCGTCGGACCTCCACCAAAGACAGCAGCTCTTATGGATGGGGGGTAGATCCCAACGCAACCTGGGAGGCTGGTCTCCGTACAACAAAAGAATAAGGTCCGGGTGTGTAGTAGTAGTAGTGGTAGTCACAAGACAAGACAAGACGTCTGGTTTCTGGTTCAAGATTGCAATGTGCGTATCGGCCTCTTGACAGTTTTTACAGAGTAGTTGCTGTGTATATACGAAGTAACTGACAGAGAATACGATGGTGCTCGACGGGCTTGATGTTGAATGACCTGATTATGTCAGCAACACGCCGGGAGCCGAGTCGCGCCACGACGATCTGCGCGCCCAGCATCAATATTGTCCTTGCTCAGTCCCAACAGAACAAAAGATTCCGCCATGGACGCTTGCTCGCTAGCTCTGCTCAGGCTGCCCTCACGAACCAACCTCAAGGAGCCAAATCAATGACAAGCAACGATCGATATGTCCTGGTGACTGGCGCAAACAGGTAAGCAAGCGACTCTTCCATGATTCCCCATCCAATCGGCCAGATTCTGACGTCCTCGCTTAAGCGGCCTCGGTCTGGGTACCTGCTGTCGTCTGATCGACGAGTATCTTGCTTCTCAACCCCGCGACCATGGCGCTCTGACCATCATATTCACGACTCGGAGCGCCAAAAAGGGTGCCGAGACTCTTTCGACCCTCGAGAAGCACCTCGCCAGACATGGCCGCGCCCCCACCTCTGGTCGCAAGATCTTCTTCCAACCCGAGAATGTCGAGTTGACGAGCCTTCTCTCGATCCGCGCCCTCAGCCGCAAACTCCTCGCCTCAGACCTGCCTCATATCAACGCAATAGTCCTCAATGCAGGTATAGGAGGATGGTCCGGCCTTGATTGGCCCCTGACGTTGTGGACGGTCTTGACGGGCATCAGACAGGCCACAACATGGCCGACGTTCAAACTTGGTCTCGTCGGACTGGTGACAAAACCACAGTTCCCACAGGGGACTTTTGCCGGTGAGGGACCGATACTGGGAGAGGTCTTCTGCGCCAACGTGTTTGGACATTACATGCTGGTCCATTGGCTCATGCCACTATTCCGCGCATGCGCACCCGAGTCCCGCGGCAAGATCATCTGGTCGACCTCCATTGAGGCGGTCGGACGGCACTACAACCCGGAGGACCATCAGGGGCTGAAATCAGACGCGGCATACGAACACACGAAGCGCATAGGAGACTTGTTGGCGCTCAGTGCGGTCAATCAGCCGGCGACCGCCAAACAAGTCAAGGAATACACCACGCCCTCTTACACCGTGGCATCTGCGCGGGAGCGGCCAGATCAATCCGAGCCGACCTTCCACGTGTCGCACCCAGGGGTCTGCACCACCACAATCATCAGCCTCTGTTGGATCGTGCACGAGTGCTATCGGCTCGGCATTTATCTGGCCCGCTGGTGCGGCTCGCCTTGGGCAAATGTGACCAGCTACCTAGGAGCCGCGTCGGCCTCCTGGCTCGCTCTCGCGTCCCTAGCAGCCATTACAGGCAAAGCGATTCAAGACACCGGCGACGAAAATAGCGGGCCATGTAAATGGGGGTCGTCGACCGACCGCCTGGGCCGTTCTCACGTTCGCGTCACCGACGTCCAGGGCTGGGGCCTCAACGGCAGCGGCAAGCCTTTCAAGGATAAATGGTGGGGTGGAAGTCTGGGGAGAAAGACCGGTTTCGTCGACGCGACGAAAGACGACGTCGAAAACTTTGTTGCCCAAGGAGCCCAGGTGTGGAACAGGATGGAGACATTGCGGAAAGACTGGGAGGCGAGGATTGAAAAGTATGAAGCGGACCATGCAACGGGGAGCAATGGACATGTAATAAAATAATAATAATAATCGTTTCTGAAGATAAAAAAAAAAGACCAAGGCCATACATATATACAGACATACATGCAGGGAGTACCAGATACCGAGCCCTTCAGCCCCCTGATCGGTCCACGGTTTGATGTCCCTTTTTGTCTTTAAACCATTACTGACTTCCTAGGTACTCGCTATGTTTTCCACGCGTCTTCCTCTCCCACTCCTCTTCATCCTCGTCCTCGTCCATCCACCCTCGACACATCTGCACAGCCTGTCACTCTCGCGCTTGGAGATGCCGGGCTGCAAAAAGTGTCGTCCTTCGGCGTTGATCTCCTTCAGCTTGTCGAAGGACGACCACACCTTGGCCGCAAAGCCCGCCGCGATGGCGGCGCCCACGGCCGTGGTCTCGCGCATCTGGGGCCGGTCGACGGGGATTTGGATTATGTCGGACTGCGTCTGCGTGGACAACCAATGCTTTTCGTCAACTTCGTGATTCATTTCCTCTGGGAGTAGGGTGGCCGAGGGGGTGGACAGCAGAGGAAAAGAGAAACGGCTATGTATAGATATGCTAAACTCGCCTGCATGCATAAGTCACTGTTGCTCATGCACCCGTCCACGGCCAGCTCCTTCAGGTGGACACCGGCGTCCTTCTCCATCGCGTCCAGGATCGCCTTGGTCTGAAAACACGTCGCCTCCAACGTAGCCCGCGCGATGTGCCCTTTCTCCGTGTATCCCGTCAACCCGAATATGGTGCCCTTGACGTCGTCGTACCAGTACGGCGCGAACAGGCCCGAAAATGCCGTGACAAAGACACGCCCGTCGTTGTCTTTGACCGTCCCCGCCAGGTCGGAGATCTGGTACGACTCGCTGCCGAAGCCCAGCTTGTTGACGAGGAACTTGACCGACGGGCCATCCACGACGATGCATCCCTCAAGCGCGTAGACGGGCTTGATGCCCTGCGGCGAGAAATCATGCGCCACCGTGGCGAGCAAGCCGTGTGTCGAAATCACGGGCTTTTCGCCCACGTTGTATAGAAGGAAACATCCCGCGCCGTACGTGTTCTTTGCCCGGCCGGGGGAAAGGCCACATTGTCCCACCAACGCGGCCGACTGGTCATCCAAGCAGCCTGTGATTTTGACTCCCTTGAGTTTGCTCTGCGAGCGTGCCGTATGCCTCGGGGTCTGACGAGGGAACGATTTTCGGCAAGTGGAGCTTCGGTGTTTTGACGTCGAGGTCGAAGAAGGAAATTAGTTTGTCGTCGTACGAGAGCTTGTGGATGTTCATCCACATGGTCCTGCCCGCGTTCGTGGGGTCTGTCACCTACACATTTCTTTCAACGCCGCCGTTCAACTTGTACACGAGCCAGGTATCCACCGTCCCGAAGGCCAGTCTTCCTTCCGCGTACGCCTTCTTCACCTTGTCAACGTGACTTAACATCCATAATACTTTCGTGGAACTTGGGTATGTCGACAGCGGGAGACCACGAAGTTCCATGAGCTCATCTGCCCCCGGCTTCTGTTTGAGTTCGCGCACAATGTGCGCGCTACGGGTGTCTGTCCATACAATCGCGTTCTGAAGTGGCTCCCCCGTTTTGATGTCCCATACCACGGTCGTTTTCACGTTGGTTTGTGACCCCAATGGCTTTTATGTCGGAGGGAGAGTACCCTTGAGAGGTAAAGGAGGCGCATGCTTAGCCAATGCAAGTGCAGACCGAAGAGACAAGGTCCTGGGGATCGTGTTCATGCCAGCTGGACAGGAGTAAGAGAGGATAAGGTCATTGGAAGGGCACCTCGCGTTGCTTTGGAGATACAGGTCTCGTTCGCCCGTGCGAAAACTCACCCGGAGTGTGGATAATGCTGTTGAAACTCGATTTGATGCTCGGCAACTGGTCGAAGATAAGGAATCGTGTACTGGTGGTGCCATTGTCGATTGCGCCAACGAAAGTCTTGTTCGATTTATTACCGTACAGCACTCCTTGTCGGTCGCACTTAAGCATTGGTAAGTTCCAAGAACAAAGTACCATGTTAGATAGAAGAGACGAGCTTGATGGAGAACAGAGGTGGGTCAAATATTGCTTCGATCTTGAAAACATGGAAAGACAAATTCTCACAAAGACGTCCAGGAAGACCCAAACCAGAAGCAGAACATTGCAACAAAGAAGCAGTAATCAGGAAAAGGAAGTAGTTGTTGCGTCAACCTGGAGAGAGCTCGAGTGCGGGGAGACATGTGCTGGGGCGAGGCGAGGAGGCTATGATGCAAGGCCGAGATGACGATCCGCAAAGGCATGTGGCAGCTGGTCTCGCTGGTCCTGGCGAGACGGGGCACACGATCACCGAGCGGCACCAAGGCGACGTGCTTGTTCAAAAGACAAATGGAATGTTTGGATTTGCCTGCCTTGGCCTTGATATGTACAATGACTGCTCCCTGCAAACAATCAGCGGGTGTTGCAAACGTTTCTTCACATTTAACGCACAGCTTCCTTGGCTTGTCTACTCCTCCTCCTCACCACCTTCTTCTTCCTCTTCCTCCTCTTCGCCGCCCACTGGTTCAGGTCCAATCTCTTCCATCTGTCTGGCCCTAAGTTCCCTCATTCTGTCGGCAGGCCCAGGAGGTCGAGTGACCAAATCAGCGATCTGACCACGTCCAATCAACGAAGCGACAATACTGGCGCCAACAATGAATGTGAGGACGAATCGGTAGACTCCGTACCACGGAGGAGCCCAGCCACGAGCAGAAGCTCTTGCATCGTTGTAGTACAAGAAGGTGAAGGCAAGGAACTGGGCAATCAAGCCAACCTCTGCAGGGAGGAGAAGCGTTGGCCACGCTACAGCGGTGGCAATGATACCCATCGAGTATCTCGGATAGCCTTTATAGCCACCGTAGCCGGCCCATTCAAGACCCCAGTGGATGGCACCAAGGAACGAGATGATCTGAGATTCTGGGTCAATGATAAAACATTTTAAAATTGTCCGGGCAACTGACCGAAGCACCATAACCGAGCTGAATTGGCTCAATGATGTGAAGCAACGTCTCAGCCGTCTCGCCCGACATGAAAAAGCCCTGGCCGTGAGTGGCCGCGTATTGAATGTCGAACGAAAGATAGACGGTGGTCAGAGATGTAGCCAGGTACGGAATGACACCTGCTAGACCGACATAGAGAGCTTCACGAGGCACAGATGCCAAACTAAATGTCTCCTTGATCGTGTTCTGTTCGTCTCGAGATTAGCAGAGTGAAACCGTGCTCTTCCTTGCATGCCGGAAACCCACAAAGTCACTTCGAATACCGGCCATCATATCCACATCATCTTCGTCGGCAGCTTTGCTCATTTCGCCAGCGACTTGTCGGGTTGTCGAATCAGCAGAGACCGCCTGTGGAATTGGTTCCAAAATCTTGTCATGAAGTGACTTCTCTGCCTTTGCAATGTCATAAGCGTGGGCATTGTGGGCGTAGCGCACCACGGCCCTTGGGACTGGCTGGAAGGCGGCGACTGCGAGGATGCGAGAAGTCCGGACCGGGCGAGCAGAAGTCCGCAGAGAGGCTTTCAGGGCATGGTTGAGAAAGCTCGTTCGTGGGGTGGTCGCTTGGAGGGAGTTGAAGGAACGCGGGATCGATCGGACAGCGCTGGTGCGCAGCATTGTTGTCGACATGATGGCAATGGCTGGTCTGTAAAGGCGATAGGTATTACAGGCCGACCAGAGCCAGCTGGACTGGAGCTGTAGAGCGAGTTGGAAGGAGTGGAGATGGTCGAACTGTGCTCAGGTGAAGAAAGGATTGAAGTTCGAAGGAGCTCGGATTGAGCTCACGATCGGGTGCTCGATGTGGAAAAGCTCATTTGTTATGACGGCGTAAATGAATCACGTGTGCCCAATACTTTGTAAGATTGTGGCACTGGCACCTGGTAATCTTGGTTTCAAATGACAGCTGCGCTCAGGCCATCGTCATTGGCCCTGCCAAGCTCCCGCAGAGCTCCTGCGCCCGACCTCACTTGCACTCTTCAAGTTCTATCCAAGTAACCGTCAACCTCCTCTCCACTCATTTGCAGTTCAACATGTCCTTTCAGCGCGTCGGCCTGCGCCTGGCGCAGCAACAGCTCCGTTCTCCTGCCTTTCGACCCCTCTTCCGAGCGACCTTCCAGCGACGTCTCGCAAGTAGCGGCGTTCCGAGCCCACCAGGTCAAGGAGCGAGCAAACTTGTTGGAACGGCCGACAATGCCTTCAACCGAGAACGAGCTGCGGTGAAAGCCCATGCTGCTGCCACAAGTGGTTGGTTCCTCTTCCGGTGCTTGTCGGTCCACGAGAGAATGCTAACGTGGTGCAGATCTCTGGCGTAAACTCTCGATCTTGTAGGCACCTCTTGCCCGAGATATTACGCACCTTGGCAAGAAGACAACTGGTATCTAACCATCTCTATAGCGTCGTCATCCCCTGCCTAGTCCTAGCAAGCATCAACGCCTGGAATCTGTGGAACGAACATTGGGAGCACTGGTCACATATGCCTCCCCTGGAAGAGCGTGTCGAATACCCTTACCAGAACATCCGAACTAGAAATTTCTGGTGGGGAGACGGTGACAAGACCCTCTTCTGGAACGACAAGGTCAACTACCACAAGAAAGACAAGCAAACTTAAACATGAACTGAAGTGCGCTGGGGTGGTTTCAAAAGACTGGGTCGGTCATGGTGGACCTTACTTGTACATAAGGAGTGCAGAGAAAGTGAAGGTGGGAACCCAACTTGGGGATAACACGACCACAATTCATTATCATACAGTTCAGAACTCCAGGATCTCAGCGTTTACTCCAACACTTGACTGCACGACCTTCAGACACTTTGGGCCTCGTACTCCCTCTTCAGCCCCAAATACTGCGTCGCTGTATCATTCGCCAACACCAAATCCCCCCTCCAGTGCATAATCGTCGCCTTCTTCTTCAACATCTCCAGTTGGCCCTGTAAATCTTCAACGTACCTATACTGCGTGTATGCATGATCAATATTTTCCATTGCCTTATTGATGAGTTCCTTTTGCTTCGTTGCGGAAAACTTGTCTGTTCCCGACGACGAGCCAGCGAGACCCATATTCGCATCTGCGAGCACGGAGTATGAGTGGGCGGCGAGGTCACAGTCTTGACATTCCAGCACTTGAGGCATGATTGATTGGAGAAGGTCGGCAGCAGCCAGGAACTCGCGTAGGTCGTTGAGAATTGTGGCAAGGAGATAGATAGATGTCCATAACGAGGGGAGAATTCTTCCTCGAAATGCGATCTGTGCTGCGCGCATGACAAGCGAGAACGCCTTGAGTGAATGCCCGCTCTCGATCAAGATGCGTGCTTCGAGGTTCAACAGCCGGGTTTGCACGGCGATGTCGTTGATTTCATGGCTCTTATTTGCTCCCTGTACCAAATCTTCAACCTTTTCAAGGGCCTGGTCGAGAACTCCCCGACGAATGAGCAGCTCAATCCCGAGCAATGACAGTGAAAATGCAATTTTCACATCCGGTGCACCTTGTCCGCCGAGCCGATCGAGCAAATGTTCTGCAGCATCGAGATTGTCCCGATGTATGAGCCTGCGGGCCCTCAACAAGCCCGAGTAGAAGTTCATGGAATTCTGGAACTTCATTCGCCGCTGCACATAGGGCGGAATATTGTTCAGCATCTGCTCAGCCTCGGCATATCTGCCACGTTGAACCAAGAGCCCGGCTATTCGACAATAATTTTTGAACAGGTCTTCGAGTGGCGCGTCCTTGGAATGGCACTGCAGGAAAGCCTGGCCACACCACCAGCTCAGATGAGCGAGGCCAATCCTGCTAAATGCGGCACCTTTTATGAGAAACATCGGTCCAACAGCGCTCTGAGTCGAGCGGACGACGCTGAGATGCGAAACTTTTGCAAGGTTTTCAAAGACACCTGCGAGGCTGTCTCCATATTGCAGACCTAGCTTGGCTTCACTCAATAGCGTCGTGCCCAAGAGACTCCACATCTCCGCATCCTTAGCCCGGGATTTAAGGAATGCCAGTCCCTCGACTTCGCTGCCGAGAATGCCGCTATCGCGGATGGCGTCCATTTCACCCGGGAATGACCGCCCAAAATGGTATACCCAGCTCATGCAAAAGTTGAGGCATGTGGTGTCTTTGTTCTCTCGGGCGGTGGCAATGGCTTCCTGCATTGCCGAAAGTGCTTCAGCGTGACATCCGAAGTCTGCTTGGAGGATGGCGAGGTTGAGCAGCGCGTACTGATATATTGCTCTCTCTCTCGTCTGCATTGCGTAATCAAAGTATCTGTGCAGATTGTCAAAGGCGGAGTAGTAATCCCCTGCTCGCCACGAATCAAGGAAATTGAGATAGTTTCCCAGTTTTGGGATGACAGTGCCGGCTTTGGACATCTGTTGAAGCTTCAATCTCATGCCGTCAGGTAATCTCCCACCAAGACGCTGGATTTCGGAGACCTGAAATTCCATCAGTTTTTCGACATCGTACATGCTGTATGCTCCATGATGCTTTTGTTCGTCTTCGGCTAGTGTTCCATACATCAACTGGGCCAGAGGGTGCGATGAATCAAGGCCCAATTCTGCGAAGTTCGCGTCAAGGGCATTTCCGCCGGCTGAATGATTCTTCTTCTCATAAGCCTCGCGAGTTGGCAGTCTGTAAGAGATGAAATCCTGCCAGAGAGTGATGCTGTCTTGAAACTGCAGTCTTGTGTATTCTAAGTGGCAGCGGCGAATGAAAGCGCCTAAGGGTGATGTTCTGAGAATACGTCCATAAGTTTGATCAGATTCTTCCCCAGTTTCCCGCTCCCTCAGCAACTGCTCCCTCGACTTCGTCAGAAGAGAAGGAAGATACGTGATAAAGGCATCAAGAGCATGCGAACAATCAATTTCCCACAGTCTCTTCACCAGCAGATCAAATAGAGTTCTGCCTGATCTCGCAGACGGATGTGAGGATAATGTGGACTCGAATTCAGCTATCGGGAGAGCATGCTGGAACTCTGTGTCTTCCTGGAACAA